TGGTGAGAATTCAATTAATCTTACTGAGGACCTCATATAAATGATGAGTCACTTCTCTCTTACTGCTTTCAAGATTCTTTGTCTTTGCCTTTATGCAGTTTCATTACCATTTGTTTGGGTGGATTTCTTTGATTTATCCTCTTAGAGTTCATTGTTCTTCTTGGAAGTACAGATTCATGGGGGGGGGTTGTCATTATTTAATCAAATACTGTCTCTGTCCCTTTCTTCTCTCCTCTTCTTCTAGGATTCCCATCACGCATGAGTTGATATACTTGATGATGTCCCATAAGTCTCTGAAATTTTGTTTACTTTTTTATTTTTTCTTATTGTTCCTCAGACTAGATAATTTCAACTTATCTGTCTTTCAAGTTCACTTATTCTTTCTTCACCCAGTTTAAATTTAGCCCCTATAATAAATTTCTATTTCAACTGTTCTACTTCTCAACTCTAGAAATTCTATTTGGTTCTTTTTTTTTTAATCATTTCTATCACTTTATTGATATTCTCTGATGAGATATCATTCTCATACTTTCCTTTAGTTCTTTAGATATGATTTTCTTTGGTTCCTTGAACATATGTATAATAGCTGATTTAAAGTATTTTTCTAGTAAGTTGAACACCTGGGGACAGTTTCTATTTACTGCATATTTCCTATGTATTGGCCATATGTTCCTGTTTCTTTGTGTATCTTATAATTTTTTGTTGAAGCTTGGAAATTTTAAATAACATAATGTGTTAGTTCTGGTAATCAGATTCCCCTCTTCAGGGTTTATTTTTGCTGCTGATGATAACCATGATGATGTTTGTTGGTTTAGTGGCTTTCCTGAACTAGTTCTGTACAGTCTGTATTCTTTTGTCTTATGCACCCACTGAAATCTCTGCTTGGTTGCCTAGTGGTCAGCTAATTATTGGACAGAGGTTTTTCTTAACCTCTTAGAACCAATGAGTTTCCCAGTCTTTGACTAATGGCTCTCTGTGTATCTTGGGACACACAGTCAATGCTCCTACAGGCAGTTTACAATTCTGCCTCAGTCTTTATTTACTATTTGTACAGAGCCTCAAGCTCAGTCATAAATGAAAACAGCTCAGGTCTTGCCTGAGCATGGCTTCTAGATTACCTGAAGAAATATCTCAGAGCTTTCCAAAGCCCCTTATCACATTCCATTCCCCCGTTTTTCTTTTTAAGTTTTGTGATTAGTCTCCTATTAGCCCCACCTGGTAACACCACCTCGGACAGTGTGATGTTAGACACTTGTCACTGATTATTTTCAACAAATGCCTTGCAAGCAGGGCTGTTTACAGGGGAATTCTAAGTCAAGTCAAATAACGCTCTGAGAGTGGATCATTTCAGAAAGATTCCAGGTAGGTCAGATGCTGACAATGAGGCTTTTAGGGAACCCCAATCCTATTCTGCCTCCTCCACTGGCTTCTAAGCTACTGGTTTTTATAGCTACCATAGTTGCCAGGTTGCTTGTTTTCAAGGCTACCCAAAAGATGGGAGGAAAGGATATAGTTAGGACAACTTAAATCATCACAAGACTCACTGTTTTTACCAAGATTCAGCTGTTTCTCTTGAATGAACATACCTTAGATTGTTATAAGTCTTTAGTTATTTTCCAAAGTTCTGAAAAGTTAATTTTGACAGTATCCACAGTGTTCTCATTTCTTTTATGGAGAAACAAATTTTCAGAGGCCCTTACTCTACTATTCCCAAAGTTAGATCTAGTAGACAGTTATAGCAAGTTTCTTTTAACTAGAAAATAAAATTATAGAAATAATATACCATATATAATTGAATAGGAAAAATAATAGAAATCATAGAATATAAAACATATATTAATAATAGAAATAAATAAGTAATAGTATATGGTTTCTATAATTTGCTTACTTCAACATTTCTAATTTTTGGTCTCTACTGATGAATCAAATATTCAGGTGGTGCCTGATGTGACATTCCATAGAAGATAGACAGAAATTATTCCTGTGATTCTCAAATATGAGCAGGTATAATTCTATCAATCAATAAGAGAGGCTCTATTACAATAGTGTGATAAAACAAACCTCAATAGCTTATCCTTAAAATGTTATATCTCACTCACACTACCCATTCAAGAGTTGGGTAATGTAGGGGGATCTCTGGCCAACACACAAAGACCCAGGCCGATGGATGATGGAGGCTTTAACTTGACAGGTGATTTCATGATCAACACCACAAGAGAAAGTAAATCTCCCACTGGATCTTACAGCTTCTACCCAGAAGCAATATCACTTTTACTCAGGTTTTATTGACGAAAACAAGTTACATAACCACATCTAACTCTGAAGTAATCAGAGACATATAATCCTATCATATAACAGGAAGGAGAGAAGAACCAAAAGATTATGAACAGCTAGAATGTCTACCACAGTGTGTATAATTTTATTCTTTATCTTTATTACTCTCAATTTAACAAGGACTATTGAGAGCTAAATACATACATGTCGATTTTCAGAAAACTTTTCAGCAAATAAGTACACACACAAAAAAAAAACTACCTGGGAATATATTAAATCCTAGTCGTTATTCAATTTGTTTTCCTGAAGAAATTCTAGTAAAATAAATTCCAGCAGGAGAATTCTAGATTCCTCTGTTAGAGTTGATAGTGCTGATAACTCTGGGGATATTGAGGCCACAATATCATTTGGTATAAAAAATTAAAAGGCAAAGATTCTGTGTCATTCTTAATACCTATTCCTTCATTTAACAAACAGTTATTGGGAAATATGCACAGATCTTTTTCACTCACTTAACAAATTTCATTGGCAGTCTATTATTTGACAGATTCAGTCCTACAAACATGTATTAGCACCTACAATGTACTAGGAACAAGGAATGCAAAGATAAATTCAATTCAACTACTACCCTAAAAAAAATACAGTAGCCCCCTTTTCCACAGGAGATATGTTTCAAGACCCCCAGTAGATGTCTGAAACCTCAGATACCTGAACCCTATATATAGGGTTATTTCCTATATACACATACTTTTTTACTCAAAGGAAGCATTTTATGGCCTCTTTTTGGTACATCCCAACTGCTAGCATCACAACTCTTGCATTTTGAGGACATTATTAAGTAAAATATGAGTGGCTTGAACACAAGCACTGCGATACCATGACAGTTGATCTGATAACTGAGAAGCCTACTAAGTGCTAATGGGCAGGTAGCATACAGAATGAATATGCTGGAAAAGAGGGATGAGTCATCCTGGGCAGGACAGAGCGGAACAGCACAAGACTTCATTATGGAACTCAGAACAGCATGCAATTTAGAATTTATGAATTGTTTATTTCTGTATTTTCCACTTAATATTTTTGGACCTTGGTTGACTGCAAATAACTGAAACCACAGATCAGGAAGGACTACTGCACACAGACAGTTTTGGGTGGTGGTGGTGTGATTAACTAACTATAATGCAGTTGTAGTTTTGAAGGTCAGGGATCTCGAGTTCTATCCCTGAGACCAGTCAGAACAACCCAAGTCAACATGATTACCTCATATTGGTCCCCCTCAGGCATAAGCAATTTGCTAAGTTGGACTTCAGTGCGACTCCCTTGATCATTTTAAGCAAAACAGCTACTGAAAATTACTTCTAAATTCATCATAAAACTATTATATATATAATATCCCTCCCAAGATGTTTTTCTTTTTCCCCTCTAAGAATTTTATGCCAAAAAACAAAACAAAACACTAAGTCCCCTCTAAAGAGCCAGAGTGTTTCTCTGTGATAATGAGAGGGTACATTTGCCCCTTTTCCCTTTTTGCCTTGGTGACCAGAAAGCTCTGACAGACGCTCAAATAATTACTGAGCCCACATTGATATATTTGCTTCTCATCCTTTTCATGCTCTTACATTTCAATTCTAACCAGTATTTCCTTTTTGAAAAAGCCCAGAAAAAGGAAACAAAGCAAAAATTAGACTGTGAACAAGGAATGATAAATTCTCCAAAGTTACCAAAAGACCAAGCCAAATACCTTCTCCTCTTTTGCATTTTCTACGATGGACTTTCCCCAAGGAAATTTAACTGGAGCCTTTCACTGGCAATGGAAACCTGAGTGAAAGGGTCTCTGAGTAAAAATGATTAAAGGCATTAGAACATGAAATGTACTTGACCTGAGCCAGTCACCCAATGGCACTCATTTGGCCTCTACATTTGAATATGCTCTATGCTAAAAAATATGTTCAGGGGAAGAAAAAAGACTGACTCAGCCTATAGGATCCCCAAAGGAAAGTTTTACCATTGCGGAAGAGTTGTTGGTTAGAATGCAAAGTAACCTTGCACATTTCCTCTTGGGAAAGTACAGTTTGTCTCGTTGAGAAGGCAAGAGTTCTATTTTCATTTCAGTTCAACTCCGGAGTGGCCCACTTCAGACAATTGCACTTTTATATACTGAGTCTGACTCTCCCTGAGCCCAAATTCCTGCCAGCCACATGGGGGCTTAGAAGAAACCCTTGGAAACTTAGAATAGCTTCTATGTATGAGGACATGCTCTGTGGTACCCTGACAGTGATAACTTCTCTTCATAAATTGAGATAAAGAGAAAAGACCCAGACATGACACTCAAATAGAGACAGAGAATGCAAAGCACATAGGATCTTTTCTACCCATTGTCTTGGCAGGAAGTCCAGCACATCACAGGCACTCAACGTTTGTTTGCCAAGATTATTTATTTGATTTTAAAAATGACACCCTCGTGAAAAGGGTGAGAGGACAAATTATTTTTATTTCATGGGTGGGGAAAAAAGAACACAGAGAGACTGTCTCTTATTTGAGGTCATATAATGCAAATGACCTAGGACAAGTTACCATCCCTCTTCCCCTGACAACCTGCTCCTTCTCCTTGTGTTTATTATCTCAATTAACATCACCACCCAGGTGCACTATCCCTTTGACCGAAATAGTCAGAGTCAAGTACAACGTCTTGGGCCCCTTCCCCTCCTATATAAGTTGTCACCACTGACTGCTGCTGAGTCTGCCATAGAATCCAGCGCTTCCTCTCGGTCTTCACAGCCATGACCTTGGTCTGTCCTTGTCTCTCACCGGGACATTCAGCCAGTCAGTTGATCACCAATCCATCACATTTTTGAGACTACATTGTGCCAGGTTCTGAGCTAAGGGATTAAGCAATTGTGTTAGAGAAAGTAGTATTCTCGGCTCCAAAGGACTTACAGCCTCAAGAGGAAAACAGACAGGAAAACTACAGTGTATGAAAGTGCTGCAACAGCGTAAGAAGAGGGTGCCAGGGGCGCACAGAGCTCAGGCAGTCATTCGTTCATTGACAAATATTTGACCATTCAACAAACTCTGTGGCAGGCACGAGGCTAGGTGCTGGAGATCCACTGTGATCAAGACCAGTAAGCTTATGCTCTCCCCATGGAGCTTATACTTTTATAGAGGAGACAGGCATAAACACTTGGATAGATGATAGTTAGATAGACAATAGACAGGCAAGTAATATGAATGGATCTAAAGAAAAATGAAGCAGGGAGAGAGATCAGTGCGGGTTCTAGTATAAACAGGGTGATCGGAGAAAGTGTCTCTGAGGAGATGCCACTGAAGCTGAGACCTAGACGGGGTGAGGGAACATGCCCAGTATTGCCAATACCTGGGCAAAAGTTTGTAGGCAGAATAAACAGCAGGTATACCAACGTTGCAACGGAAGTGTGCACGTCCCTCCACCCAGGATGCGGGAACAATTTCAGGAAGATAAAGCACGAGTTGACTTGAAGAATGTATGAAGTGCCAGATGGCAAAGGAGAAGGACAGCATCCCAGCCAAGGGCAGACGCGGGCGGGCAGGGCACAAAGCCGGGAAAAAGGAGCTGTTCGTTCTAGGAGCTCCACGTACGGAGAAACACCTAGTCATCAAGTCATGTTGATCCTGTGCCACCAGCTTCCTACCCCGATGAACTCTCCAGGAGTTTTGCCTCATCGTTGCTTAACTTGAACTGTCTTTCTACACAGGCCTTTCACCCAGGGACGTTGTCTGTGACCAGCTGCTCCTATTATCTGGCCCAGCCAGGCGCCACAGTTGGGGCTCTGGCTGATTCTCACGTGCCAACGGCCTGAGGTTCCAGATGCAAAGTAAGGGGATGGACAAACCTCAGAGCTGGCCCACAGAGCTGGTCCCTAGGAAGGACTCGGCAATCCTGCCGAATGCCCCCTCCTCTCTGAGCATGAACTCAGCGTGAGGAGTTGGGCTGGGCTGGGCCTCACGGACTTCTTTGCAAGAATAAGCACAGCCTCAGTTTCTCCATCTGTAATACAGGACCAAGAGTTTGTGTCCTGGTCTTGCTTTTTAAAGCCCTCAATGTGGCCTAGAAAGCCTGGTGAATCCCTCCACACAAGGCTTTAGGGAAATGCAAGTTTAAGCCCGCAGCAGCAGGCAGAAGGCTGGCTTTTGTTTCTACATCAGCGCTCTTTATTTTTTCCTACAGAAGCAATTCTATCACACCAGAATTCACAACAGGAAAAAAAAGAACTCATTCTGATTTTACTTCCGCACCATCCAGAAACATATGGCCCATAGATCTACCACAAAGGGTGCCAGAAGGGGCCAGGTGAAGCGTCACCAGGCAGAAGGAGCACAGCATGGGGGAAGTGCTACCCAGACAACATGGAAAGAAATAAGTAATTCTGCAAGAAGAGAAGGGAAAGAAAGTAGGGCGCACCACAGAGGAAGGCAACCACCCTCACTCCCAGGAACAGGGGATGTGGGGGAGGCACCCAGAAAACCACAGCAGCACATCACCGCATCCCTTAGACCACCTACAGGTGACCCTTGAACAACACGGCTTTGAACTGCGCAAGTTCCATCTATTTGCAGATTTTTTTTTAATAAATACTGTAAATGTCTTTCTCTTTCTTATGATCTTCTTAGAGAAAAGTCACATTTTCTTTTCTCTAGTTTACTGTAAGAATATGGCACGTAACACATTGAACATACATATAAAATATGTGTTGAATCAACTGTTTATGTTATCAGTAAGCCTTCCAGTCAAGTTTGGGCTGTTGGTAACTAAGGTTTTGGGAAGTCAAAAGTTACACATGGATTTTTGACTGTATGGGAAAGTTAGCACCCCTAACCTCCATGTTGTTCAAGGGTCAACTGTACTTCTACTCTGTGACCCACCTCCCCTTCAATCAATAGCACCACCCAAGTCATTGCCACTTTGCTAAGAACTTGAGTGTCCTCCTTGCTTTCCCTGTCCCATCACAATCTAATCAGTCACTATGATGCAGGAGGCAGGGCTGTAACGACAACCCCTAACTGGGCAAACAGGACTGTTCTACCCATGAAGTAGCCAGAGCCAGACCACGCCAGGTTCCTGGAATGCAGTGTCCACCCAGTTTGCTCCCATCTCCAGTCGCCTCATCTGTGTTCCAGGTCCTGCTCTAGGCTCCCAACATTCCATCTGATGTTGTGCTTGCTCTACATCACCTTTGCTTTCTCAGCCAGGGGTCAAGGCCCTGGTGCATTTCTGGCACCAACTCCTGCTTTCAATCCTGTTATGTCTCATACGGAGGGAGGCATGCCAGCTTCTGCCTCTGCAGTAATATCAAGTCCTTTATTCATTTCCTTACATGCATATTACAACTATTAATAGAAACAGTGCTCCTACTGTGTGTCCATGCTATTCTGAGCACTGGGGACACAGGTGCACAAGATGGAGACTTGCTCTCAGGTGGCTCATATGCTGCAAACAGAAGAAATATCAATAGGAGAGAGGTGGTTGATGGGATGTGGACAACTTAAGACAGGTAGTGAAGAAGGAACTCTCAGAGGAGGTGATGTTTGCAAGATGAAAAACAGCCAGTGCTGCAGCAAATTTGGGGAAGAGAGTGAGAGTTGTAGGGTGTGGGAGAGCAACCAGTTCAAAGGCCCTGGGGCTGATGCAAAGGGAAGGGGGGGGGGATTGGTAGATGATGAGCTCAGAGAAGCTCCGGTGCCTCCCTGGCTATGGTAAAGATGTGGGGTTTTATAAGTGAAATGGAAAGGCACTCAAAGGCTTAAAGCAAGAGAGTTATTTGTTTTGATTTGGATGTATTTTTAAAGGTCGCTACGGCTGCTGTATGGAAGGCACCAGTGGAAGCGGAGGTCTGTCAGGAAGCAGCCCAGGGTCCAGATGAGGGGAGACAGTGGCTTAGGTGAGGGCGCCACCATGAAGATGGTGGTCCTTCCTGTGCTTCGTCCACACTGCCTTCACCCACTCTTACAGAGACCTTCCTCACTTCTCGCTCTGACTATTATAGCAGCCTTCAAATTCTCTAACCATACTCCCCAATCACTCCCACACCAAATCAATTCTGAAAACCACCACCTGGTAACATCCTGAATTACAGCTGTGAAGACGCTGCTAGAAATCTATCCAACCCCAGGCTCCCTCCTATCCACATCCCCGTGACCCAGTTTGGGTTAATGAGATACACATGGAAGTCAACAAGTGTGGCTTCCCAGGAAGTTATTCCTTTTCTGATAGAGTCAATAACAGACTCAGCTGGCACAAGATCTTTGACTGGCATTTGCCTGTGGCACAAACACCACACCTGGTGGTAGAGCCACATGCTAAGGATGGTGGAGCACAAAGCTAGAAGTGCCCTAGTTCTGATGGCATCTTTGAGCCCTCGGAGCGTCCCTGGAAAATAAACCTCTATTTCGTTAAGTCATTGTAGTTGATTTCTATTACAAGTAACTGAGCACATGCCCTCACCAAAGCAAAGAGCTCAGGGAATTAATTCACCTGCAGCAATAGAAGACTTTAGTTCCAACTGTATTGTTCCTAAAACAAAAGGAGAATCAGCTTCTGGGGGACATGTATGTCACTAGGATGTGAGCGTTTTCAATGACACAAATTCTTGATTTCTGTGGGGTAGTTGCTAGTTCCCCACCATCTCCATATAGGCAGGAGAAGACTGGGTCAGAGTCCAATGACTCGGTTTACCCAAGGTGTTCACTCTGGATACCTGGGTTCCCTCCCTTAAGCTCACTGCATCATGGGAGCATCTAGAGAGGCCTCTGAGCATGAGCTCCAGAGCAGTCTTCTAAAGAAAAATCACTTTCAGCAGCTGGCATGTGTCAGAAGACCAAAGAGGTCTGGAACCCAGAGGCAAAGCTCACCCTCCAGTGTCCAAAAGGTCCTCAGAGGAGATGTTGCCGGAGGCTCACGGGAATGTCCAAGAGAGGACTCAACCCTGAGGAGCGGTGACCAGGTTCTTGTCTCCACGCAAGAAAGAATTTAAGAGGGAGACAGACGCAGGAAAGAGGAAGCAATTGATTGAAAACGAAAGTACACACTTGAGAAGAAAGTGCCCGTAAACTCAGAAAACGAGTCGCAAGGAGGGAGTCCCAATTAGGGGTATTTATCCCTCCCAGGGTGGAAACTGGTAACGTCCCATTGACGCGGTTCATTCATCTCCTCCCCCTGGGCAGGACCCTCCATTTCCTGCTTTTTTCTTCCTTATGTGGTTCCTCCGGAACTGTCATGGCATCAGATGCATGATGGGAGTTGTAGTAACCACAATGCAAATGACATTAAAAGTAGCTAAAGGTTATGTCCCGGGTCATAGGGATTAGCCTTGCTGCATGAAACTGGGTTTTGTTTTTATTCCAGCTGCAGGTGCTGGACGCAGTCACTTGTTACTTGTGTAATCAGTGAGGCACCTCTTGTTGTACCCTGGAGGGGGTCATCAATTTCCTAGGCTATCTATCAGGCTTCAGTGGGACCATGAACAATGATGGAGGCCGCCAATCAGGCCAAACCAACATTACACATCCTGGGTGTTGGTCCAAACAAAGTAGGCAGCATCCAAGTGGCCCGCCCGGTAGAAAAGGGAAGGTTTCCCAGCAGGGAGAGAGCAGCACGTATGAACCTGTGGGGGTCATGTTCAAATATAGACTCCAACCAAGTCAGCTGGTCTGGGGTGAGGCCTAGGAGACTGTTTCTAATAAGCTCAGAGGACGCTGGGGCTGTTGAGCACATGACCACACTTGGAATGACAAGGCGGTGGAACCCACGGTTAGGAAGTGGGGCCATATAGGGGTAAGGAGGAAGCTATTGCCTGGGAGGTCCATATGTCTGTGTGTACGTGTGTGTGTGTGTGTGTGTGTGTGTGTACGTGTGTGTGTGTGTGTGCGTGTGTGTGTGGTGTGTGCACATATGTGTGCTTATATTTTGACTATAGGAATCAGTTTGTGACTCAGAAGACATCTGGTGAGTGGGTAATAGAGAAGCTCTAATTTTAGAGGACACTCTAATAGTGGGCAGGTTGCCTAGGCAGGAACTCCAGAAATTTCTGAGGGCAAGAGATTCCTCTGACACCCTGAGGAGCCCTGCCAGCTGCCTTCACTGCAACACGTGACTGAGGACAGCACCCTGTTAATAGCCTCAGTCTGGGTGGCTGCAATCCAGACTGGACTCAAGGGGCTGTCCACTTCTCCCCGCGCTGGGCAGTCATAACCAGAACTGACTGCTCAGCTCGAGTAACTTCCAGGAGTTCTTGGACTACACACAGGAACAAAAACATAAAGGCCCCAAGAAGGTCAATGCATTACTGCAATTGCGAGCTGGTGCCCAAGCCATTTTATTTAAATATAAAAAGAGATTTGACCTCAGTCTGAATTCTAAGCCAGTAAACCACACAGATTGCTACCTTTATGATTGGGGCAAACAATAAAGCTATTTTCATTTGAAAGAAAGTAAAAGTGCAGAAAGGGCCTGGCCTTCTGAAAATTGTACCAGATTGACTACAAAACCATGCAAGCCCACACTTAGCCAAAATGTAATCTGTCCTGGCAGCTCCAGTACGCAAAGTCACAAGAGTGTTTTTATTTGCTCTTAAATGTGGACGAGAAAAAAAATGAATAAGAGACAGGCACTAGATCTACAGGAAATATAAGAGCTAGAGAGTAGTCTTGGCCTGTGCTTTTTCAAGCCTGTCTAGGGCTGTGTGAAGAAAGCCCCTGGTCTGTTCCATCTGCTCTCCGTGCTCATTTAAGCTGCATCAAGAGGATATGTGAATAAACAGAGCACAAGAAAAGTGCCTCTGAAAGGGCCATGTGTGGTAGACGGAACACATGAAAGAGGAGAGAGTCCTTAGCAGAGGTATCTCAGGATTCACATTCAAATCTGCGTGAAGCCTGTATTTCCTTTCTCAAGAGTTTTGCTTTTCTTCTAGTCTCAAATTCTGGTCTCCTCATGGGTTTGGGGTGGGAAGGGTGAATTTGGGATTGAGAACCCAGGAAGGAGCCCACAGCAGCCCTGACTCCATCCTGACGGCTTCCAGGAAGTGAAGCCAAGTCAGGCTGTGAAGTGAGCCTGCTTTCTCCTCCATCTTTGTTGTGTGCTACTGACTGCGGAGTTGGCTCTGGAATTCTGGGTATAGGTCTTGGATGGTTTCACAAGAGGCATGTGCAAAAGTTTATTTACAAGCAAAAGAAATTCCCTTTTATTCTTACCTCATTGTTGGCATAAATCCACCTGCCCTCCTTCCAGCAGCGAGCTGGTACAGGCCTGAGCACATTAGTCTCCGTTAAGTAAGGAAAAAATTAAACTTTGGTGCAATAGAGATAAAAGCTGTGGGAATGCTGGAGACCTGCAAAGCAATGTATGGACAGGAGAAGCTATGTGTTTGCAAATATTGTTTCTGATCAAACTTGTAGTGTGGACATAGAACTGTTGGGAATCAAGAACATTTTGGGAGAGAGGAGATTAAGGAAAGAGGGACTTGCAACATTTTAAATCAGTTTTCTCTGGAGTTGCCTTCATATAAGTAGCCATAACCTTGTACTGCTGCTTGGGGCTCTGGGGTGTCAATTTCCCCAGGGCCCCTATTAAATGCACTTCCTGTTCAACTACAGATTGAAAAAAGTCTTGAGGAGGGACAGAGGGGCCTTCCAGTGAGTAAGTGATTGCTAGAAACCAAAGGAAAAGATTCATTTCCATATTTTCCAAACAGGTAGAAAGGTGTTTTGTATTCAGCACTTCCGACAATAAAAAACTCAGGAACTCACCTGAACTGTGTGCCACCAAATAGAAGTTACAAAGAAAATGGTTAAAAGTGAAGAAGAGGGGGCCAGCCGAGTGGTTCGTTGGTTAAGAGTTGGCTTGGGAGCGCGAGCTCTGAGCAGCAGGACCACCTGTTCAGATCCCACATAGGCCAGTGACGCTGCGCCCTCTACAGCTAAGATGGTGAACAACAGCTCGACCTCGAGCTGGGCTGCCATGAGTCGCTGGCAATGGTGTAGGCTGCAGTGGGGCTGGTCGGCAGCGGGCGTGAGCTTTTGTGAGCTGCCGTGAGCCACCGTGAGTGGCCGTCCAATGGCCGGCAAGCGACTGCCTCACCTGGGAAGAGCGCAATGATAATACCAACATAGGCCAGTGAAGCGACGTCCTCCACAACTAGACTGAAGAACAAAAGGACAGCAACTTGTCTGTTCCCCTTCCCTGATTCCCCAACGCTGTTCCCTCCCCAATTCCCCAACGAAATCTTAAAAAAAAAAAAAGTGAAGAAGAGATAGATGGAACTAGAAAGAATCTCAGAGAGAAGGCACATGGAACAAGGGTAGATAGAAACATTCCATGGGCTGGAGGATGACATGCCTAACAGGGCTGAGGAGAAGTCTCAGGTGAGAGCTCTTTAGAAGGATCTGTGCCCTGAGTCCAGCTCGTGGCAGATGTGTTTCTCCTAATTCCTTTGGGAGAGGCTGTCAGGGGCTGTGGATATAGCAGTGCTGGGAGGTACTGAAAGAAAAACTGGATTTGGGAGTCAAGGGCCAGCATCTACTCCCAGGTGGTGATGAACTTCCCACACAGTATGCATTCTAGAAGGACCTAGAATGTCTGTGCCAAGCACATGATGGGCCTTAGGTCCAGTTACGAAAGAGACAGATGCAGACCTTGCACTAGAGAAGCTGAAAATCTAGAAGAATGATTTAAAATATATTTTTAAACCCACACACAATTGCACCGAGAGTCATAAAAATGGGAAGGACAGCACTAGGGGAAAAGCGTGTCAAGGAGACCTGATATGACCTAGGGTTTAAGGAAGGTATCCTTGAGGCTGTGAAGAAGAAACAGGAGAAGGAGAGGAAGAAAAGAAAAAGGAGAAAGAGAAGAAGGAAGTGAAAAAAGACGCAGTTAATTGAGCACTTACTATGTGCACAGCACTGTTGTAAACATTTAGCACTTATTAACTCATCTAATTCCTGTACCTCTACAAAACGTGTGCTGTTGTTATCCCCAATTAATAGATGTTAACTAGCTTGCCCAAGGTTGCCCTCCCTGTGTATCACAGATGTTTCTCGTCACTGTCTTTAAAAGATCTCAACTTACTTTTTAAAAAATGATGGAGACATAAACAAATGTCATGTTGCGCTTTCAGACTCTCCAAGCTCCAAATTGTTCTATACTGCAGGAGGAGGCACAGCAATGGCCCTGAGGGCTACCCAACATGCCCCGGAAGCTGTGCTAACTGCCACTGGGGGCTCCCCTCTGCCCTGCCGTCACAGTCGGAACGTGAGTAGCCTCTGAGACCACCCTGCCTGGGCTCGGATCCCAGCTCCGGCACTTAGCAGCCGAGAGGCCTGGGGCAGGTTACTGGACCCTCTCTGCCTCTGTTTCATCATCGGTTAAGTGAGAATATGACTAGCACCTGTATCACCAAGCAGTCGTGAGGGTTAAACAAGTCACTGTGTGTGAAACACAGGGGACAATCTCTGGTGTGCAGGTAGCGCTATGTACCTGCTCAGAAATTTGCCTGGCAGACAGGGCCTGTTCAGTACCCCCAAATGTTCTCTGGTGAGCAGACGTCCAAAGTGAGGAACAAGTGTTGTCAGGGAGGAGTGTAGGCAAAGTAGAAGCCCCAGAGCTGACAGGAAACCAAGCAACCTCTGCTTCTGCCCCTCCCCTTTTTCATTCTTGTATCTAACACACAGGTCTGTGAAGACCTTGCCCTGAGCCAGGCCCTTCCAGGGGAGTGTGGGCTGTATAACTGGGGTTAACAGGAAGCCCTGGGGCACCACCACATTTTATACCATCCATCAGTCATCATGATCAGGCAGGGGCAGAATAGCTCAGGCAGAAGGTGGGTGTGGCGTGACCCCTGTGTGCGCTTTTACTCACACCATCTGAAACACACAGCGAGAAGGAGTGATTCACCCGAGTGATTCTGGACAAACAAATGCAACCTATTTCCACTGCGCATACAGATTTACACAAAAGAGTCTTGTTTTCCATAAACTCCCTCGGGCCCTTTGGACTCTCACCTTCTCTTTCTTCCTGGCGTCCCCACCACAGCTTCTCACTGCCC